TTGGCATTTTAATCCCCCCACAGCACCTCACTTCGGTGGATTATGGAAAGCCGGAGTTAAGTCCGTCAAGTCCCATATGAGGCATGTTATTGGAGAGTAAATTCTCACTTACGAGGAACTGAATACTGTTCTAGTGCAGATCGAAGCCATCCTCAACTCCAGGCCTCTTTGTCCACTGAGCTCGGACCCAAACGACTTGTCCGCACTTACTCTTGGTCATTTTTTACTCTTGAGCTGCTTGTCACAGTTCCAGAGCCAAACTTGGAAGACATCCAGCTGAATCGTTTACAGTGGTGGCAGCTCGTGGAGAAGCTTCAGCAAGATTTTCGGAAACGCTGGCATCAGGACTATCTTCACACCTTACAGCAGCATCCAAAGTGGCAGGAAGAAAATCAACCTCTTCACCCTCAGCAGCTTGTATTAATAAAAGAGGACAGGCTTCCTCCACTGCAGTGGCGCTTAGGATGCAGCGTTGAGCTACACCCTGGTCATGATAAAGTGCCTAGAGTAGCAACGGTCTGCACAGTGGACGGAACTGTTAAACGTCCCGCCGTAAACTGTGTCCACTGCCCTTAAAGAGTTGAAATGAATATTTCACGGTGTGCTTCTAGGAACTAGTATATTTAGACAGTCAGTTGTTCACAATTGGTTCGGGAGAAATGGTGTTTGGTAGTGCCCGCCAGTTCTCATATCAACAAACTTTCATGTAATACAGTCCATCAAGATGTTCGACGCAACAGTCTGTGTGAATAAGTCTGAATGTGATGTGTGTTCTATGATAGCATACGCATCATCATGTGAACACAACTAAGGCAGCAATAAATTGCTGCAGTTCAGTATGGAAAATTATAAATATTGATCAGCACACAAAGTATGTTGATCACAGATGATTCCAATCAAGAGATGCTTTACTCTTTACAGCATTTTGCAAAAACCAGTGAAAAGAATATTCTTAACTAGTAACATTAGGACAGTTTCTGTTATCTACAGTGTAAATTCACTGTATTCTGTTAATAAAGATAAAACCACTTATGCACTGTAATACTGTAACTAAGAGTAAATCATTCACAAAAACTGAACAAATGTTAAGGATGACAACATTCATAAAAATTATCAAACTGTGAATATAATTCCCTGGCTATAAAAAAACAGAAAAAGTTTACCCAGCTAAGGAAAATCCACTTGGTGCTTTCTTGGCTCGGTTGAGGATGATGATATCTGTGACACAGTTCTGTACTAGGTCCCGACGAGACAATCTGTAGCAAAGCTGTTTCTTGCGCCATGCTTTAAGGTCTAGTAAACAAAGAAGGAAAAAATTTGTCCAATTCAGACTCCATAGATACACAAAAGTACACACAGCAAAAAGACCCTAACAATTATTGGCACACGAATTTTTAAAAATTCTTTCACATATTTAATGTATATTAGAAAAGTTTCCAGTTTAAAGTTGGAGTCTTCAATTATTTTTCATTTGTTCTGATCACTACAACTTTGCAGATGCCTACTCCATCCCCTCACTCTAATAGGACAAATATTTTCATCCAGACTTTCCGGTAAATGTTGCCCTTGGGGGATTTTTATATTATTTTATTTGTGTATATGTGGAGGGGGAACAGACACACGCAGCTTGCGTCGGAAACACTGGGAATAAATAAATAATAGAGTTGACACATAACATCTTTCCAACAATATTACGACTTCGCCTCAGCAGTGAGCAAGCCTTGCCACATGATACCAACGGAGTTGTCATTGTTACCATGCGTCAAGGGACCCAAGATCGTACTGTTTGTTTGGGTCAAGAATAGACATTCCCACCTGAGATTGTATTATTCACAAGTCACCAAGGCTATGCATCCAAGGCACTAAGTATCACAACACGCCGCTAGATGGCTCTACTAGTACGATTCCCTGCATCTCGATTCTCCAAGCCGGTAGGTGAAGTAACACCTTGAAGAAGCTATGCTACAGCTACCATCTCTCCAGCGCCGCCATCCAGCTGACTGAAGGGGAAGACCCAGCCAGAGTATATATAGTGGGCCACTCGCTGCAGACGGCAGTAGTTCAGACTTCATTCTCTCCACCGCAGCCCTTGCCGGAGTTTATAACTAGCCTGCTTGCCTCACTCCAAAACCTAACCTCCTTCACCGCATTCATGACAAAGGAACCACCTCTACTTGGTTTCCACCGTGACTTGTTGCCGGAGCCATCCTTACAAGCCTATCTTCACCACATTTGTGCAGAAGATCAATCCTTGCCAAAAATCTACACATTAAGACACTAAGTGCCCCTTCTGGGAGCAACACATGTGTAGGGAGTAGTCCCAGTTTAAATTATTTTCATAGCGCTTGTCTACCCTGCCATTATTAGCCTAGGACCAGGTTATCTCTACTTGGCTCAGCGTAGGTTAGGCTTCTCTAAGCTCTTGTCATTGTTAGTAAACAAGTTGACATCACTATTTCAGATGTGCAATGATCCACGAACATTTCCAAGCCAAATTTAGCGTACACTGCGCAGCTGATTACAATGCAAATTTCAACAATATTTTCCCATGCGAAATACCACGCACACTTATTCATACAGCACATTTTCATGAACAAGTCCCAGTTAAACATACTGCGTTTGCAAAACAATTTGCATGTTCATAAATGCCTCAAGACACAGGCACTGTCCAAACCACCGCATTATACCGGCCCAGTGTTTACTCGAATGCACATCCAGTCCATCTCGTGTCTCGGCACGGACTCCTACAGCAGACAACTCCCATACAAGAAACGCCTACCACGCAATGCAAAAGCGAACTACGCCACTCGCAGCACTTCCTAGCGGCAGTTCCTTTAACAACAAATATTAACTATCAAACGTATGACAAACAACTAATCGCAATAAAGATTAAATTATAACCAAGGTAAAATATATGTAGAAATATATTAGTAAATATTTCACACCAATATAAATATTCATACATATACTTAAAATGTAATAAATAGGCCGGCCAAGATAAGATTATAAAAATGATCATTACACTGCAGGTAAAAAACAAAATGGCCAACTGTCGCATATTGGCATTCAGCATAAAAATAATGCTGTGACGATCAGAGTCTTCACATTAGGAGGTAGTGCTACACCACTCTGTTAACAGAAAATATATCAACTCGAGGGTATCCTTTCCTGTAGCTGTAATACCTCTCCTAGTGGACCTCACACTGTTCAAGTTATTTTAGGTGACCAGGAAAATTACTCATACGAGCCAAATACATCCACTGAGTACCCACACGCACATTGGGCGGCCACCCTTTTTGTGCTCCCCGGAGTACAGAATGTTAGAGCCCCGACACTAAGTCTGAGCAGGTCAGCTTGCCTGCTCAGAAGCATACTTTTTCTATCGCGTTTCGACGCAGGAGTTAGTGTTCTCTGAGTCTGGGGAGACTGTTCCCTCCTGAGACACTCACCCACATCCAAAGACTGCCAACGGAGAGGCCTGTTCTCAGTGTTCACTATTACGACGCCGAGTGCTGAGATAGGGAGTCTGCTTGGCTGATACTGCACGTGGCAGAACACCAGTAGGAGGACACTTCACCTAGTCAGTTCACTGACATGAGGAGTGTTATTCAGACCAAATGCCCTACTCCCGTTGGAGTGATATCCAAGAGGTCAGACAGGTGCTAACTGCCTCAGGGCACTTGCAAGAGTTTACTCCCCTCCTCATCATTACAATTGCACAGCTCTCTTCCAAGGATTAAGTAAAGGGATTGCGCCGCCTACAGATTCCAGTCACTCCAGAGATTCCTAAGGACCTCTTACAGGACCCCATCCATTTGAATGAAGAAACACACCTCTTACTAGCAGCTTACATCAGTGAACAGGACCAATCCTTGGGACTCGTCAACACTTACTATGGGGGAATTAAGCCAAACTCCTGAAGCCAAGTTATACATTTTCATCTCAAATAAATTGTAAAACTCTAAACATTTCTTATTTGTAACATGTCTCGCATATCACTACAGTCCTCGAGAAAACTACATAAAGTATTGCATCTATTATCACAGTTTTTATATGAAAATTGCATAAAACATTAATTTTACACTAAAGTTTTATTTCATGAACCCGAAAATTTAGTGTAGCCATTTTGTATCACAGAATTGGGCATTTGATTTTTATATAACCTTAACATATGTAACTCACCTGCTACTTAATAGTAAATAATGAAAATGAACACATGTACAAAATTTATACCTTTATTGAGCACTTACTGAATACATGCCACATACACAGAGCTTAAATTTTCTGGTATGACTGGCATTAAAAATAATTTTAGACAAACCATTTTACCTGCGACATTTAAATTGTCCAACCCCTTATAAAAATACAATAATGAATGTAAAAAAAAAAAGTATGGTAACAGATTATTCATATCCATATCTATGATAAATACTAACTTAAAATTCCAGAAATTATTGGAAACATTCCCCTCAAGATTCTTTGCAAAAAAAAAAAAAAAAAAAAAAAAAAACCCAATATTCACACTTCAGCAGTTATCTTGAAAACTTTTTGTTGGCTTTATTTAAAAATAGATTTTGCAAAATTCCCCAACTTTTTCCTGATTTTTCCCTTACCAATACAATTCCCTGACTTTTCCTGTTTTTCAGAACAGTGGCCACCCTGTTTGAGCCTTTATCTGTCAATCAGCCTAGGTTACACTCACGCAAGCTGGAGTTGACCCAGGTGAAACAGAAGCCTCAGCTTACGCGTAACCCAGGTACACCGCTTCGAGCCAATCCTCTGAAACAGAGCCTGACTTCTTGCCCTGCCACAATGCTACCAGGCCAGTCCTCTACAATGGACGTATACCACTACCATGTAGAGACCAAGTTAAAATTGAACCCCCTGCCAGAGGGTGCACCTGATCTAGCACCCGAACAAAAACTCCCTCTTGCCGTAGCGCTGTTCGATATTGCCCTACGTGTGTCACACGTCAAAGAGGTAGTAAGGAGTGTTTTGGGCACTCAACGTAGGGCCCGAACCCACGACAATGAGATTAAGAGTTTCGTGCTCTACCGACTGAGCTAGCCAGGCTGAACTGCACAGTTGCAGCCGCAACTGAACACAGCTGCTGTGCCAAGCAAAATTGCACCGGCACTGGTATATACAGAATCCAGTAAGCCCATTGTCAACAATGGTTCCACTATACCTGCCTAGGTTGGGAGGATGAACCACGTTATACAGATGGCCTCGAATACTGATGCGATAAATGTCGTAACAGTCAGACAGCATTTTACAATTTGATTACCTGCCCAGGGCGTGGTACCTACACACTGTGCTACATACTGCACGGAGAGACCTACCACCAGAGATGATTAGGAGGAGCATATTATCTGACCAAGTATGGTCTATCAGTGTGAAGTCTGTCAGCGGGCTGCTGATTACAGACCACACAACCCAGGGCCGGCCTCCCATTCCAACACTGCTAGATACATGGAAGAGCCTCAATTATTGGAGTTTGCAGGACCTCATGAGGACCTGCTAGTGTTCACAGCCGAATGTGAATGGGAATTTTGCAGGTACTAAGTGCCCGAAAAACAATGAGTCTTACAAGTACAATCCAAATTTAAGGTCAAAGCCCTCTAATGGTGACAAAAATATGGGGAATTCGTTTCTGAGTGGAGCCAACTCAGTAGTTGACTTGCACAACAATTCACTGGTGAGGACGTACTGGCGTGCCTCACTACAGAATTAGCGAACACTAGACTATATTTCATACAATTTGTATGAAAAACAAGAAGACAAAACATGCCGATCACTTATAGTCTGTCTTGTGCAAGGTTTCCAGATTTTGACAGACTGTATGAAAGTAGGACCTTGTAAACAAACTGAATATGTATCCTTCCGTCACCATGTGCTTTCCATGTGCCTGTCAAAACATATATCATGTGAATTTTTCCTTAACATTTCAAACATGTCAACTATAATTGAGGAAAATATGTGATTACACAGATATTTTTTTTAAATTTCTGATGGTAACATCTACATTGTGTTACCAAAATACTATCAATAAAATATATTCATATTCTTACAATTAATTAAACAGATATTATTAATTACTACCAAATCAATTTAACCAAAACAATTTAACGGAGAATACAAAACTTACCTGGCCCGAAGTATGATCAGAATTGCCTTCTTTGTAAGCCTTTTGAAAAATTTAAAGAATTCATTAAAAAAAGAATGTGAATCTCACATAGTTAACTGATGTGAGCATCAGAAAAAAAAAAACATAATTCACAACTGAGCAGTAAAATGAACTATGAGAAAACAAAAGTCTGCTGGAGTTCTGTGTAAAGGCAATGTCATCAGTAGGCCTACCTTAAAAAAATTACATTTAGGCAGTCAACACACATAATAAGAATTAGGCCTGTCAAATCATACACAGAAATAGTTAAGTAGAACTGTAAAAGTTTTCTACAATCAATAATTACGGAACATATTTGTAGCAATTACAATAAAATAAGCCTGTACAAAAAACATTCCTCACAAATGGTGAAGACTGGTAGGCCTGTGATAATTAAATAATGAAACCTAGTGGCAATTACATCAAACGCATGGCCATATGTACTATTACAGTAACGTGGATATTTAATATACATGCCCATCGTCACCCGAAAAAAAAAAAATTTCAGTGCAATTTGTTGTCCTATACGATTAGCATTTATTATCATAGCTAAACAATTAACCACAGAAAGAAAATGTACCTTACATAGTATTTCTGGACAAACAAAACATTATATATCTCAGTTTTAACATAATTAGGCCTAAATAATTAGTATTTAATTACAACTGCATCCGTGGTTTTGGTCTATAGACACAGGTGAGCAATGTAACCTCAATGTTTTGGTGAAGTCAATACTATTTGTTGTTTATTGACCATACAAAAATTAATTCAACTGTAACATCGACATACTTTTTAAGAAATGAAATAAATGCAGAATATTTAAATTTTGCCTGTTAAAAACCTGCACACAACATTTAAATGTTATCTGCTAAAAACCCACACACAAATATAACATGTTTACTTTAATTATAATAGAACTAAAAAAGTTTGCCTAAGATATTTACATTTCCCCATCAAAATACACCACAATCCAAATATTCACGTACATAAATTATCACTATTTACTTTGCGACTGTTTTTGACGAAATTCCTAGCAATTGGCCAGTCGTTTCTAGCACAGGATGACTTGAGTTCTCCCATTAGTATCATGTCTTTGGCAACACGTACAATGTCTTGCTGTCATTGGCGATTGCATGAAGGATTTTTACGTCGCTGCATTTTAAATAACTATTCACACAACATTCATTAATTCGATTTGGAAGTTACTAAACTGATACGCCCGCAACCAAAAACTGCATCTCACAATAACAACATGGTGTCCAGTCGCTTGGTAAAGATAAACAGCCCTCCTTTTTCATTATTTCTGTTATGCACTTTAACAAATTTGAAACTATGAACACGTTTAATAGCCTTATACACAATGCTATAATGTAATATTATTTACATTTATTCTGAAATGCTTACTAATTTTTTTATTTGTACAGCGCACTATTTTCTTTTTCGCCGATGTAAGTAAAAATACATGTTATTCAGGGATACCACCATTGCTTCACATGGCGGTCAGCTGACATTCATTATTTCAAATATGATGCTACTGTATTACAGTTTAAATACGTTGGCAGCAGTAGCGGTCAAATTCTGGAAACTTTAAATGAGACAGACTATAGTAAAAATACTCTAGCTGCTACAAATTCTACATAAAACATCACACAATTTATAAGTGAAGGAAAATATAAGTTTTATTAATTAAAAATATTAGGCGAATGTAAGCATTCATAATTAATCAAAAAAATCATAAGTTCAGTGTGTAGTCATAGATCAATTAAAAAACAAGGAAAATTGCTGGCAAATAAAATTATGTTTAGTTGAAAAGAAACTGAATACCTCTTCACTTCTTCACCTCTTCAATCTCAGTTAGCAAAAAGATAATTTATGTGAGTAAACTGGAACTAGCTCTTAAGTTTTCTCATAAGTAAATCTTAATGTTCGTAACTCAGCTCTAGAACACAAAATTCTCTCTACTGGCTCCTGATTATGTTCATGGAAAATTATAAACTCTTCTTAAATTTCAGATTAATATTTGAAATTTGTCCTAGATCACTTTCTTAAAGTTCAATTAATTTAGAGATTCCATAATTAAAATATGAAAAGTTTATAGCAGACAAGCATAAAATGATGTTAATCCATAATACCCAGTCTCTGTAGGTAATACTTAATATGCTGGTGGAAATGGCTGCCGACATTCTTGAAACACTCAATAACTAATTATACTATGCGACTCGGGACTCTTATATCGTGCCCCGTCTATTTACAGTAACTTTGTGCTTCTTTAACACCATGCATACTCTTACGATGGCCGGTAATACAAAAATTATAAGCAAATATTGCAGACAAAATTTTACGTTGATCTGCTTATCAGTGGCACCCGAGGAGAAAGTAATTAATCACCGGAATTCACACGATGACGCTAATTACATGGGAAATTCCTCCTACGTCATAGTATAATCAATCCTGTAATTTAAACTTTTCTCCATGGCTAAATCTTCTGGATAAAACCAGGGGGGAAAAAAATTTAACACTGCCAAACCTAAGGTTAGGGGCTTTAAAATAAATAAATAAATAATTAAGTTTCCAAAATAAATAAACATACAGTAAGGAAATAAAACATAAACAAAAGCTTTAAATGCTGAAATCATTACAACTTTAATGTGTGATTTTCAATTCCCTCCCAAAGACTCTAAGCAATGTAAAACAATCCCACTTTAAACATTCAAAATTCACATTAACTTTCAGTACAACAAAGATTATTTAACATGGTATTTTTCAAAATGCGATTAAGTAAATATCCATACGTGGATTCTACAGAAAGGTATCATTTTTTTCTCCATTTTCAACATAAGTAATTTATTTTCCAAAACGGCATTTAAGAAAATATGATGGTTCACTTTCTGTATATTATTTATATATACGCTGCAATCAATCAATTTTTATTACTTCCTCACAATGCCTTCTATCCACTTGAATCGACCTAGATTAACACTGTTGACTTGCAGAACCATCTTCAATTCTTTCACACAAAAACATTTTGGTACTGCATCCACAGAATCAAAAGCTACGAAAGAATGTATTTCTGAGAACTGGAAATTATATATCAAGACTTTTTGAATAAATTCTTTAAATGTATAGTAATTGTGTGAAAATAAACTATTTAATCAAATCATTCTGCACAGCAGTATGTATGAGAAGAAACAGAGCCTACAGTCACAGACCATCAATGCTTGCTGGTTTTACCTGAATCTATTGTGCGAGAAATTACGCAAAACCCATCTGGAGGCAGCTCCTTTTCACTGAGCACAGCTACCGACTCCACTATATAATTTGGCAGACCTTCATTCTTCGACAGGCACAGGTAGCGAGTGCGACGCACAAAAAAGCTGGTCTCTCTCCACAAGTCGGCATCAGAATCTTGATCGTGAGTCCGACTGACCTGTCAAATAAAATAAACACTTCTTTGTAACAGTATATTGTAGAGATGTGAAGAATGGTTCTCAAAATATTTCCCACTTAATCACATATCTGACACAAGTTAACATCTTATATAAAAGAGGTACAATCTGTTACACAAAAAAAGTGAACAGCAAAACAAAACTCTTAAATCCACAATATTTTGAGAAGTCAGTTTACACCAACATCTGCATTAAGCATCCTCTTTTTGACCACCAAAACATTATGGACATGGTGAGTGAATTAAAAAATTACAATAAGTTACACTGTTATGGCAAAGAATTATTGGTGAAAATCAAATCCTTGACAACGTTTCTTTACAGAGGATTGCCACCTTTTGTACAGTAGAAAATTCCCCGACATTTCCCTGATTTCCAGACAAAACAAATCTTTGTTGCATCCTTGATGTTTTAATTTTTGACTACCGCCAGCCTAAAGAGTAGGGTAATTCGGCATTGAAGAG